ACGCATCTATTTATTGGGTATCTTTGATACAAGCTTCATGTGTTCCAGGCCGGCTTTGTACTCTTATGTAGCTGAAGACAACCTCAAACTAACTTCTCATCCTTCTCTGTGTCCCAAACTCTCAAATACAGGAATGCACCGCCATATCTGGTTATATACAGTGCTGGGAATGGAATCCAGGGGCTCAGGAATGCTGGACCAGCACCCTCCCAGTGGAATTGTACCACCAGACTAACAACACTTTCAACAATCTCAAAGAACTCACCTTGCCTTCTCTAAAATCTGTCCGTGTCCAAGCCCAATCAACCCTGCTCCTAGTTAGAACCAAGGGTTTGAGTTTCCATCCCTCTCCCCTTCACAGCTGGTGTTGGAACTGGATGAAGTTAGTGAAGCATTCTATTATGGTTCTAGCATGGGCCATGAGAGCACACCCCAGCCCTGGGAGGCAGAAGCAGAAATCTGCAAGGCTGCGGCCAGCGTGGACCACAGAGGGTACTAGGGCAGCAGTCAGGGCTATGGACAGTGAGATCTCATTTCAAACAAGAAGGAAAGAAGAAAAGAGGGGGGGGGGAAGCAGACTAATTTAGAACCTCAGTATTTATTCCTGGTGTGCCCACCCCCACGTCTCACCATCAACGCCTGGTGTGCCCGCCCCCACGTCTCACCATCAACACCTGGTGTGCCTGCTCACCACGTCTCACCATTAACGCCTGGTGTGCCTGCTCACCACATCTCACCATCAACACCTTGGTGTGCTTGCTCACCACATCTCACCATCAATGCCTGGTGTGCCTGCCTCCACGTCTCACTGTCAATATCTCCATCCCATGGAGCTCTACCGCCTGACACATGGTTAACAACGGCCTCCTACCAGTCATCTTAAAGCCTTAACACCCTGCAGGGGAGAAATCAGTCTCAGAGAGCTGAAACTTTCAGACAGCTCTCCAAGGCTGATGACAGCCAGTGCCACCAGCAAACAATTCCAACCGCCCCAGTGCCAGGACTTGGTGTTGTTTTCAGAGCACCTGTCCCTCACACCCAACTCCCAGTACTTCAGGGGCAAAAATACAACATAACTTTTTTATAATGTCTTAATTAAGACCTCATTCCACAGGGCATCCCTTCTTCCTATTCTGAGTGTCTCATGTGCAAGTGACATCACACAGCTACACTGTACATTAAAATAAATGTTGTTTTACTTTATGTGTATGAGTATTTTGTGTGCATATGTGCGTATGACCACATATGTGCCCGGTGCCTGGAGAAGTCAGAAGAGGACGACACCAGACCCCCTGGGACTGGAGATACAGATGTCTGAAAGCCACCATGTGGCTGGTGGGAACTGAACCTGGGTCCTCTCCGAGAGCAAGTGCTTTTAGCTGCTAAGCCATCTCTCCAGCCCCTGTATATTGTACATTTTAGGTTCCTATCTCCATCCCCCAACAAAACCTCCTAACTTATGGAGTGAACCATTTGAGGCTGGGTTAGGGGGAATTGGTGAGGGAACATTACTGCACATCAGTCAATTCCAAAAGGACCAGACCACATTATAAATGTACTCACAAAAAACACCGCCTTACAGAAACTGGGAGTGTCCGCGAGATCATGGTAATAGGATATTTATACAAATGCTGTGATCAGTCAATGGCCAACTGGTAAACAGTGAAATGTAATAAAGGGGGCTTGGGAATCAGGAGCCTGGAGTTTGAATTCCAACCATGTGACTTCTAAACCAGGTCTCTTTTGCCAAGTTATTTAACCTAAATCTGTTTCCTCACCTATAAAATATACAAACTGGTTCCTACTTCATTGAATTATTTTGCCAAATAAAACAATGGCTGCACCATGCAAAGTGCAGGATTCTAAGGCTGTTCACAACTGTCAATCTTTTTCCACTTAGAGAACACTGCTATTCTGTGATCCCAGCATTTGGGAAGCTGAGGCAGGAGGATTACAAATCTAAGGTTAGCTTGGAATATATAGCCACACCCTGAAATAAAAATAAAGAAAAATCCAAGGGGCGGTGGTGGCACACACCTTTAATCCCAGCCCTCGGGAGACAAAGAGACACAGATCTCTGAATTCAAGGCCAGCCTGGTCTACAAAAGCTAGTTCCAGGAGAAGTTCCAAGCTACAGAGAAACCCTGTCTCAAAAAACAAAACAAAACAAAACAAAAAAAAAAACTGATAAATATGATAAATATGATTTTAAAAAATAAATAAAAAAATAAAGAAAAATCCAAGGTCATATATGCTACATTTGGGAATAACACTTAACTCTTCTAAACCTTGACCACACCCTGAGTCCCAGGCAACCACCTCTCAGAAGTAGGTCAGAAAGATTTACAAGAGAAAAAGGGGCAGAAAAGGTACGAATCATTTCAAGGCAATTTCATCACCACTGCTGAAAAGCAGCTGAAAACCCCTGCCCTTCTTGCAGCACTGCCTTGGTCCACAAGAACAACACGTGAGTAGCAGGAACATAATGCAAACGATGATGCTGCGGAATGTAAAGAGGTTAAAGGAGGCTGAACTTAGTCCCAGCTCTGCTCTGAGGAGTACAGAGCTCACTGTAGAGCACTGCATAAATAACACACAGCAATGCAGGCCAACAACCTTTCAAATACGCAGAAAAAAGAAGAGAATCCAAGGGGACCCATGAAAAAGGGACCTAGTCTGGTTAAACCAGTTTTTATTCTTCTAGCCTGTATTGTGAGAATATTAACAAATATTCTCGTTTTGTTAAAATATGAAACTCTGATTTAACCCAGTTTCCTAACTTCAGATGAGGGAATCGCTGGTATGACTGCTTTAATTCTGAAGCTATCCTTCAACAGTCAATAACACACGTGTGTTATCTTTTTACCAAATCCAAATTAACATCACCTGCGATATCTGTGATACAGGTTTCTACTAACAAAGTAACAATACAAGAGCAAAAAAACCTTTGGAAACTTATCTGTTGAGAAATATACGTAACCCAGTATTAAAGAAACTGGGTTAGCCGGGCGTTGGTGGCGCATGCCTTTAATCCCAGCACTCGGGAGGCAGAGGCGGCAGGCGGATCTCTGTGAGTTCGAGGCCAGCCTGGTCTACAAGAGCTAGTGCCAGGGCTCCAAAGCTACAGAGAAACCCTGTCTCAAAAAACTAAAAAAAAAAAAAAAAAAAAAGAAACTGGATTAAAGCTAGGCAAGCTGGTACACAACTTAATTCCCAGCATTCATAGCAGAGGCAGGGATATCTCTGAGTTGGAGGCCAGCCAGGGCTACCCAGTTAGATGCAAGAAAGGGAAAAAGAAGAAAAGGAAAAAAAAAAAAAAAACAACTTTATAAAGAGATTCTGGTCTAGGTTCTAATGAGGGGGAAAAAAGACCACTTATTATACTGCCATTGTGGTCAGGCCAACTAATTTGCTGACATTAACTTTATACTAATCCTGCACTGGTGAATTTAATTTTTCATAAATGTTTTAGTGTCCTGTTGACCTTGAAAAATTTCTTCCACAAAGATTATATGTATTCCTTTCAGGGTCACTAAGAGAGTTACACAATCTCAAGAACTAAGCAAAATGAAAAGACACCTTTGACACAGTATCTGTGGCCAGTCTGTATACTTTATGGTTTGAAAAAAAATTAGTAAAAACTCAAATCTGTAAAGGCCTCTAAAACACAAACTATTTAGAGGTCAGAAGAAAAAAAACAGTACTTTCTGGAAGTAAAAGATTACTGAAAAACACAGATTGTGTATTTTTAAAACTAAAGAAAAATCGAGGAATACTTTTAAAAACTTAAAAAAAAAAAATACCAGATGTTTCCAAGGCAGTATTTCCTGAAACTGCTCTAGATTTTTCTGATTTGAGATTACACTCCTGCTGTAGTTGAGGAAAACCAAGTTAGTTGACACAAAATGACTTAACTAAAGTATCACAATCCTCAAAATTGTTTCTTTTCCCATCTGACCCTTCACCCACCTGCAGGCTCCATCCCTGGAGAATTTTAGTGACTAAACAAACATGAGAAGACCATGGCCAAAAGTGAGCAAGAACCTCTTCCAACCAACCTGATGACATGACTATTTTCATATTCTGCAGGGGAAGTTTACATGAAGCAGTGGAAGAAATTAAACCAGTGAGGGTCTTGAAAAGAAGGCCTTCAATTTGTAGAAAGATGGGAAAAGTCAACCTCACAGGAAATGCCTAGTGCCCTAACTGCCACTGCTTTTCTGACAATCATACACAGCACAACCCAAGTTTAAGGGGGAGGGGAGTTAAAAAAAAAAAAAAAAAGTAAAATAGAAGACCAGCAGTCATTAGTAGTCTGTTAAAATTACTACGATTTAACTGGAATCTTTTAAACTATTAAGGATATACACTTTGTTCAATATCAAGAAATCTGTAACTACCTCTCAAACACAAAGGTACCTTTGATCAACTTATACAATGAAATGGCTACATGTATCTGGGATTTCCAATACTTCCTTTTAAAACCATTAAATATTATGGTTTTATACAAAAGTGTTCTTTAAATCTCTAAAGACACAGGCAAACACAATATACCATGATCTAAATCTTGCCCTCTTTCTTGAAAACCCTTTTAAAAAGACCGAACACCTTCAAGATGTTCTCCTTGTCTTCAGACCCTAAAAGAAAAAAGCAAGTGGAGTTCCGAATGAAGATACAAGGAAAGAGAATAAAGAAGAAAACATGAGGCCCTTTCCGGGGTCCTGCATTCTCTACCCCTGGAGTATTTTAGTGATTGAGTAAACATACTGAGGAGACCGTAGCCCAAAGCAGAGCAAGGGCTTCTTACAATACAACCAACCTGATGATGAATGGACTACTCCCATAATATCTCATTATTCTTAAAAATGCCATCTCCGTCGCCTCCCCATCCCAAAAGCCCGACACTACTAGCGCAAAATCGTCCTCGTCTAAAGCGCCAAAGAGTTGCCAAGTAATCCTTTCAAGGTGCCCCCCCGCCCCCCACGCCCCAGCCTCCTCACCTCGTCAGCGCTCAGCTCCTCCATCGCTTTCCTCTTAATGGTGAAAGGCGTTAGGGAAGAGATCCTCGGTTCTTGAGATCAGGGCGGGAGCAAAGGAGATGGGAAGATATCTAGCGAGCTGTCTGGTCCCCCCCAATGGGGGAGGATTCAGAATTGCATAGTCAGAGGTTAAAAACTAAGAACACGAGGCACTGAACCGCCTTGGCTCCGGTCGCTCAGATGGCCCCAACCTCCTCCAGCTGCAAGCGCCCTGAGCCGCCTCCTCTGGCCACGACCGCAGCTACGGGGTCCTCTCCAGGCTCCACGGACTCCCCTAGCTTCCCAGGTTACCCAGAGCGGGCGGCGCGGTCTCCAGCTCGGCTCGTGCCCGCTGCGCGCCGTGTCTTCGTGGCGGTGACGCGGCAGCTGCGTTTCTCTCCCGCAGACCCAGCTCCGGGTCCCACCCTCGGCCCCTGGCGGGAACGGCTCCGCTGCACACTGGATGCCCCCGAGGCGCCGCGACCCTACGGCAGCCCAGCTAGAGCGCTGGACCGGGAAGCCCCTCCCCTCTAAAAAGCAGGCCAGGCTCGCCCCGCCTCCACGCAAGAACCCTGGTGGGGGGAGGGGAGGGACGAGACTGGCGAAGCCCTCGCTGGAAGCGTGAATCCTCCTACCCCTCCAACCCTACTCTTACCCCCTCGCCCCACCAAGTATTATTCATCAAAACAACAGGGCGGCCATCTTTGAAAGGGATCACGTGATCCTCGCTGGGGAGGCGGGGCTTCTGGCGCCCGGACGCGGCAGCCAATAAGCGACGGGAGCCGCGCCGCCGATTTCCTCTTCCCCTGCATCCTGTCCCCGCCTCCTGCCCCACCCCCTCCCCCCAGCGCGCCAGGCGGGGGGGAGGGGTGGGAGGAGAGCTGCCAGGCTGAGCAGGGAGGGAGGCGGGACGGTGCGTTTCCATAGAGACCGCGCGGAGGCGAGGGGCGCGGTGGGCGGGGCTCGGGTAGGCTTGGCCTTGCCAGGGTCGCTTGCTTGGCCCCTAGGGTTTTCGCTACGCGGGTTTGCTGTCTAATGACATGGGAAAAGGGCCACCCGCACCTCTTGGATGCTGCGAGCTGCCGCAGAAACCAGAAGAGAGGAATCGGAGAAACGTTTGCTCTCTGCGGGGAGCGTTTTTGCACCAGGCTGCAGATGCCTTGTTGCGCTCTTCCCCTCCCCCAGGAAAGCCCATGAAAGAAAACTAATAGGAACTTAATTTATTTTATTTTACCTTGTTCTTTTAGAGAGGCGCTCTTCTTTGTGCTCGAGAGTACTGATACAATCTGAAAGTGTCAGTGATGAGAGACATTTCAAATGATTGAGAAATGTGTTGAACAGCTTCTTAAGGAAGCCCATTGTACAGCCCGCTCAGCCCGACAAAAACTTCTTTACAATATATGTCTAAATTGAGCAAAGTAACAGTACCATGAAAATCCGGAATTGGCCACAAAATATATATTGTCTGGCGTACAAAAGCCATAATCTTGTTCTTAACTGTTCTTTAAACAGAATCTTGCTATGTATCTCAGATTGTCTCAAATTTGAAATCCTCCTGCCTGACGCTGGAGTGTGCACCGCCATCACTCCTGCCTGACGCTGGAGTGTGCACCGCCATCACAGACTATCAAACTGTACCATTTATTTATGTCTCTTTATTATTTGTATCTGGGTCTCACTGGCCTGGAACTGGCTATGTAAACTGAGCTGGCCTCGAACTCACGGAGATCAGCCTGCCTCACCCTCCCAAGTGTTAGGATTAGGAGTGCACAGCTACTCCTAGTTGAACGACAATCTTAAACATTCCACTCTAGCCTAAAAGAGTTACATTTGATCTTAGTCGAAAGGCCGAGAAGTGACTAAAATAGCTACAATTTGTTTGCTACATGCTAAAAATGGGAACATGACTACTAGATATGCAAAGAATCTGTAACTAAAATTGAAGTCTGCAGGCTTTTCAGGAAGGCTTTCTACTTTTCAGGAAAGGAATTCTGTGTGAGCTGTTCTGGACCCCTAGTTAACACTGATGCTAATTACACTGTCTTCTTTAAAAAAACATCGTAATTGCCATGTAACCTCAGATTAAATCACACATTTAAAGTATACAATGGCTGTAAGATAGTTATAGCTGATTAACATCATTGCTCTCTAATTCCAGAACATTTTAATCACCCAAGAAAGGAACCCTCCAACACACTAAATGTCCCTCCTCTTCCTACCACTACCTCCTGTAACTAATCTGCCTTCTGTCTCCATGGATTCATCTAATCTGCACCTTTCACAACAAATAAAGCAAATATTCTACTTCCAGTGACTCTTCCTCTTTTCTCACATTCTCTTGTATTTTCTTTCTCTTCCATCCTTCCATCTTCCTTTTTCTTAATAAATCTTTATTTTTTTAGCTTTCCCTTATGGGTACATATGTTTTGCCTGCATGTATGTATGTACACAACATGTGTGCAGTGCCTGAGGAGGCCAGCAGAGGGTATCAGATCCCCCTGGAACTGGAGTTACAGATGAGCCACACACAGGGCCTGGGCACTGAACCCAGGTCTTCTGTAAGGAGCAAATGCTCTTAACCACTGAACCATCTTTCCAGCCCTCTTTCTTTCTTTCCTTTATTCTTTCTGTGTAGCCCAGATGGAGCTCAGATTCCCCGGCTCCTGAACGCTCTTCAGCATTTGTCTACTGGTGTGCACCATCACAAACAATCTGCTCATCTGGCCCCCATGATTCATGTGTCTTGCAGCACATCAGAAGTGTTTCATTTCTTTAATGTCAAACAATATTCCTAGCCAGGTGTGGTGGCATATACACCTTGTCCCAGCACTTGAGAGGCAGAGGCAGGCAGATTTCTGTCAGTTTGAGACCAGTCTGGTTTACATAGTGAGTTCCAGAACAGCCAGGTCTATCTAGAGAGGCCCTGTCTCAAGAGAGAGAGAGAGAGAGAGAGAGAGAGAGAGAGAGAGAGAGAGAGAGAGAGAGAGAGAGAGAGTGTGTTTTTTTGGTTCATGGAGACTTGGACCTGTTACCTTTAGGCTTATAACAAAGAAGCATGCGGTGGAAGGGCCAGGATGCCAATTAAAAAAATTTTTTTTTTGTTTTTCGAGACAGGGTTTCTCTGTGTAGCTACAGAGATTTGTAGAGACAGGATCGCCCCTTTTGAGGTCTGAGCATTGGTAGAGATAAGAGCTCTGTAGTGAGTGCTCTGCTTCTCTGATCCTTTAGCTTTCACCCCCTAATATATGACTCCGAGTTTCTATTATTAAGAACAATTAGAGGGTGGGGGAAAGGTAGGGGAAGTGGAAGGAGAGGAGGGAAAGGGAACTGAAATTGGTATGTAAAATAAAAGATTGAAGCCAGGCGGTGGTGGCGCACGCCTTTAATCCCAGTACTCGGGAGGCAGAGGCAGGCAGATCTCTGTGAGTTTGAGACCAGCCTGGTCTACAAAAGCTAGTTCCAGGACAGGCTCCAAAACCACAGAGAAACCCTGTCTCGAAAAGCCAAAAGATAAAAAAAATAAAATAAGTTAAATTTTAAAAAGAATAATTAGGAGTCATGCTACACATCCCTGTTCTGCATTCTGAAAATAAAGTGCAAAGTCTCACTCACCACCCCTCCATAATGATGTTCTCCCTTGCTTTGGGCCCAAAAACAGTGGGAGCAATTAATCACAGAGTGGAACCTACAAAATTGTAGGCCAGATGAATCTCTTCTCCTGTAAGATGATTAGCCGAGGCAGAGCTGCTATACAGGCAGCTGCCTAATTAACCTCCACTTAACTAAACCTAAGCTCCTGCTTAGGCAGGAGCCATAAGGTCTGCTGCATTTGAGCTACCTGTCTCTCTTGTCTTCTCTTGGAAGTTGCTTACAATGCACTTCCTGTTTATTTAGGTAATACTATATCCTTCTGAAGTCTTTGATGGAGTTAAAGAATAGATATAGTAGCTGGGCAGTGGTGGCGCACGCCTTTAATCCCAGCACTCGGGAGGCAGAGGCAGGAGGATCTCTGTGACTTCAAGACCAGCCTGGTCTACAAGAGCTAGTTCCAGGACAGGCTCCAAAACCACAGAGAAACCCTGTCTTGAAAAACCAAAAAAAATAAATAAATAAAAAGAATAGATATAGTTATAGTTTTCTTTAGTTATAATCAAAGATAAAGTTGGCATAAATATTGTAACTATAATTCTTGCTTGATACCTGTCTTGTTATATGTAATTTTACTATGTTAAAGTTAAAACCTTCCTTTTTATTTAAACAGAAAAGGCGAAATGGTGTGGGAAGTCCTTGTGTATATATGTTACTTTTATTGGTTAATGAATAAAGCTGCTTTCACACAATGGCTTAGCAGTATAAAGCCAGGCAGAAAGTCTGAACAGAGATATAGAGAGTAGGCGGAGTCAAGGAGAAGCCATATAGCTGTCACAGGAGACAGATGCCTCCCCCAGAGCCCACCAAAACTTTGCCGGTGGGCCACGACCTTATGGTGCTGCACAGATTAATTTAGTTTAGGATATAAGAGCTAGCTGAAAATACGCTTAAGCTATTGGCCAAGCAGTATTGCAAGTAATATAGTTTCTGTGTGATTATTTCAGGTCTAAGCACCCGAAAACAAACGAACAACCTCTGCCAACACTACACCCTGCCACCTGTAGTCCTTCAACTCCACTGCCCTTTCATGGTTCAGAAAGGTAAAGGTTTTCCCTCCTTGACGCCTGACACCGTGTCTCCTTTGCCTGGAAGACTCATCTCCTGGATTTTGCATGGTTTATTCCTTCTTAGCTTTTAGGTTTAGGATTAAATGTAGTTTCCTCCTTCATGCATTCATTAATTTACCAAAAGTATACATGCATAGCCAGGCAGTGGTGGTGCACACCTTTAATCCCAGCACTTGGGAGGCAGAGGCAGGTGGATCTCTGTGAGTTCGAGGCCAGCCTGGTCTACAAGAGCTAGTTCCAGGACAGGAACCAAAAGCTACGGAGAAACCCTGTCTCAAAAATCAAAAAAAAGAAAAAAAAGAAAATCCAAAAAAAAAAAAAAGTATACATGCATGTGTTCCTGTTTGTGTATGTGCACATCTATGTGTGTGTGTGTGTGCATGTGTGTGAGCCCAGGGGACAATCTTGGATAT